TGGGTGCAGCCACACTCCCACATTCACTCTACATCCACTCCTGGACTTGAGGCACCCCTGGATAGACTTGAAACACCACTTGGATAATGTCTGATCTTAGTTTTCAGTCTTTTTTGCTTACAGAAAAAAAAATAGAGCAGTTTTTCTATTGCAAAGAACTCTGAAATCCATAACTTGTCTTTCCATTTGAAATATTTGGGTTTGTCTTGCGAGTCATGTTTGATAACCCAACAGTGCTGCTAATAGTTTGCTACCATGCAGCACCCTTGGAAGGACCTCACAGCACCCTAGGGTGCTGTGGCAACCTGGTTGAAGATGATGGGCCTACAGAGACTACAGTCCACAGGGGCATTGAAAGCAGAAAGCCTCCATTAGTTTCACTTCCTTGCTGGAAACCCTGGATGGGATCCCAGGCTTATCTGGGGGTGGGGATAGCCAGGTTCCAGGGGTGGAGGGTTTTTGGGGTCCCTTGCTTCTGGTTCCTGGTTTTGCCTGTGACAGTCAACACTTGTCCGTTGTAGGGGGAGGGGCAGAGAGCCATTGCATATTGGGCACTTACCAGGACAGAAGGGCTGGCTGTTCCATGCTCATTGTGAAATGCCTTAGCTTGTTAACTGTTAATTTGGTCCCAACTCTGTGCTGCTGCATCCAGTCCTGCCCTGAAGCTTCTACCCTGAATGCAGGGATTCGAAGAGATGGGGAATTCTTGGCAAAGGGGGGCAGGGGGTGGAAAGTCAGAGCCCCCAGCCCCCCCAGGAACCATGAGCATAGAGCTTCAGAGTTCCCCACCTCCCAATACCTGGCAAACCCTTCCACTCCAGCCAATTCAGGTCTTCTGCCTCTTCTTCTAGGGAAATCCTGCGAAACCACAGACATGACTGGAAAGTCATGTCTGGAAGCATTTTGGCAGCAGTACAGTCCCTACAAGGTGAAGGATCTGCTTGAAAGTCTTAGCAGTACACACACACAGACATTTCTGTTCAGGCTTACTTGCGACCTGGTTCCCAGTCAGTGATAGTCTTGGAATAGTTCAAGCATTGCCTCTCCGCATTCTGATGTTTAATTCTCACTCTGCCACCATAAGACACCCCGTGTTTCTCTGAACAGGTCACTTAATATTCCTGGAGGCCTGATCATTAGAAGTGCCAAGTATACCATGATCTGGAAGCCAGGCTCCTTCAAGAGATGGTGAGGGGCCAAGACACTGGGACAATGAAGAGCAACATGGGTAGCTATTTAAAAACCCCATACTTAAGACTTCCACAACAAAAGCTAATTTTATATTCACAAAAGAAAGGCAATCTTAATTACAGACATTACGTAGCACAACACTCACCTGCTGTGGTAACACACAGCAATACACAAGGTTTTGCAAGAGCTGTAAAACAGGTGGGAAGGTACAGACAAGTAGTCAGAGAAACCTCTAATTACACCAGATCCTAAAGAGAAAAATCCTATTTCAAGTAAAAAAAAAAAAACAACCCCCCCCAAACAAACCCCAAAAGACATTTAAGGCTTTCAAATTTTAAAAGCAGAGTAGTAGCATAACAAGTACTTGAAAGACAAGTATGTTATGATGACTACTTGAGATTACTGACAGCAAGGGGATTTAGTATCTGGCCCCTTTACAAGAATACTTGGTCACTTGCTACATCTCTATTTACTTATATTTATAAACCAAGCCAGTTTCATTCAGTCACTTAAATGCTGAAGCCACTATGATACACCCCACAAAGAAGAGGACATGTTAAACATAATTTTTTACAAGATCAGAGATATTTCAGCTGGTGTTAGATTTAGAGAGCTTGATTGTTGCAGAGGAAAAGAGGAGCCCATAAGAATTCATTGACATCCTTTCAAGCTTCCTGGGAGGGGTAAGAGTTAAGTGTTCACAGCAAGAAAGATATTACTAAAACAAAGCCTCCCCCATGAGAATAAGTCATTAAAAAGCCAAGCATAGTACAAAGCTAATATTCTGACTGCAGCCATCAAGACTCTAAGCTAAACACCACAAAGGTGGAAGAAATACCTGTCAAAAAGAAAAAAACCAACAGCAAAGCCTTACAAAAACTGAATCCCTTATCAACAACAAATAAGAATCCTACCCACCACAATTCTCTTGCTTCCTCTCTACCCCTTCCTTTTCAACCCACCAAAAGAGAACAAACCTTCTCCCCTCTCTATTATTTAACACCTTATTTCCAGACCAACCCAGTCACCTGATACTTCTGTTTTGTCAATCACATGGGCTTTAATGAATTTAGGTGTATCAATCAAGGTCCTCAATTAAGGCCATTCTGGTTGGGAAACCATGCTGATAGGAATAATTGTGCCCCAAGACAGGGAGCCTCTTAACACCTTGAATAACATATCACAGCAATGCTCCAACCCAGCAGGTTTACAGGTCATGGTCAACACCTTGAACTTCACCTGGAGACTCATAGGCAGCCAGCATAGGTCCTGGGACACTCACTGGTATTATATTCTCCCTGTTCAACAAGCAAGCTACTGCATTTTACACCAGCTTCAGTCTCTGGATGATTTTAAGGTGCAGTCCTGGGCAGAGCACATTGCAAGAATTTCATGTTGAGGCAATAAAGATCAGGGTAACAGGCTCAAGATATACAACCCAAAACAACCCCCCCCCCCCCCCCCATTGCAAACTTTATAACACAGAAATAAATCTTGGTAAATTTTGAATAGTACTTCGAAATATTCCAGTTGTGTGGCATTGGAGGGGCAGCTCTGGGAGGAATGGAGGCTGCTGTGAGTATTCCTTTACTTTTTCAGTGGCACAAAAACTTTCTGACACACAAAAGCCTTGTGCCTTAGGTGTCTTTCCGCTACTCTGCTGGAGTTGCCTTTTTACCTCAAGGTGCCCAGTTTGAGCTGTGTAGTGTTTGGTGATCCCAGACTTCTACCAGGGCAGAAGAGTTCATAGTATCATAGGAAAACAGTGCTGCGAAGTACCTTACAAGGTCATCTAGTTCAGCTCATCTAAACAAGTATGGCCACCAAAAGAATAAGAGACTGGGCATGAGGACTCAGGAAGTCTCTTCCAGTTCTGTTGTGGAGTGAAATTAGTGGTGGTGAACAGCGCCACTTTATCTAACAGACATGGCCTGAGAAAGTGGCCCTGATACACAGTAAAGAAAAAGGCCAAAAAAGAACTGGGGTCATCTAAGTGCAGGAGAGAAAACAAAAATGATGGGATAAATGTTCAATAATAGAGTATCAGCAGGAGACCCCCCACCCTCAGTGTGGCCCTGTGTGACAGCTGTCCTGCCAATGGGCTGGCATCCTATTCTGGAGCTGTGGGAGTATTTTCTGTGGGAGAGAGCCACCCCACCCAGGCCCTGGCCTCCCTGCTGCAGCTGCCAGGAAGAGAGCCAATTGTGGCAGTCACTATTTCTCACAGGGACTCCTGTGAATGAGGAGCTGGGCTGAGAACCAACACAATTCATCTCACTTAGGCAACCAAATAGCTATCTACTGTCCACAAGTGTTGATCGTATCAACCAGGCCTGGTGCTAAATCCATGATCTGAAGGCACAGGGCTCCACACTGCCAGGCCCTGGTGGTCTTTAGCTTCTCTAAAGCAACACAGTAATGCCTATATATAAAATAACAGAATCATCATAAATCACTCTTAGAACAGGGGTCTCTTCACACCACTGCACCGTATGAATGACCTGTTCCAGATCTGGGTGGGGGAGATCTCATTGTAACAGGTCAGTGGAACAATAGTACAGTGCCACCTTGCTTAATATGTACCTTTTCCCACTGTTTTGTTGATGGTCTGCCAGTGCAAAAGCATAGCTATCTGGCACTGGATTCTGCTAGCAATATGGAATGCCAATGTGGAGTAATTCTGTTGTAGCCACTGGAGTTACTCCAAAATTATATCAGTGTAAATCTTTTCCTTCATATGCTTGTGAATAAGCAAAACTTACCTTTAAGTTCATGTCCAAAGATACCTTCGGAGGCAATGCCTTCTGATTGGTGATTGAAACAGGTTAGAGTGTCCACTGGCACAGTGTGAGCTCAGCTATTGGCTCACATTTTCAATCCACAACTATTGTTCTTCATTGCATATACAATAAAAGCTGCTCCACACTGGAAAATGCCAGAAGTCTGTGCAAGTTTGCTTCATAATGGTAAGTCAGTGTCTGTGTAACTGTAAGATTGGTTTTTGGTTTGAGTTTATTTGAGAGTCAGATTTATTAATTCTGTGTGAACAAATTATTTATTAATTCTTTATTAATTCTGCATGAACAAATTATTCTATAAGACCACTGAACGTTTCATTACAAGCTTCCTCTTCTTTTCCAGAAGTTCTTGCTGGTCCTCCTCCTGGTCCTTATTATCTTAGGGACCCTGTGTGATGCCGACTGTTATATGCGACCTCCCAACAAATATGGTAAGAACAGCATATCTTCCAATCATGCTTAGGACATTCAGTTCATTGATTCAAAGCCTCACTTGTGGAGTACAGTTCACTGAAGTATTCAGATTTCATACCAGCTGAGAGCATCTTTAGACAGACACACACATAGATAGACAGATATAGTAGTTTCCAAACAATAGCAGGGCAGAGTTCCTTTTAAAAAACAGTGTATTACCAGGGGTTAAAAGATCTCAATCCTGAAGCTTCTCTATTCCAGCACTACTGTTTTGTGCTGCTTGTTGTTGGATATGGAAAATGCACGAGAGGACTATTTCAGGTTATACCACTTGCCTGTTTGATTGTGCAAGGGGAGATATTTAATGGTTAGAACTGGGATTGGCATTACAAGAGATCAAGGTGCTAGTAATAGCCCTGCTACAATTTTTCTGTGAAATCTTGGGTTAGTCTTTAAATCCCTTACTCACTCAGGCTGCTTGCAGGTGTTAACCCTCCCCGCCCAAATGGTGCTTTACTTTAAACTTGGCACGCTCCCATGCCAAGCCCAGCACATACCCAGAAGAGCTGAACGTTTCATTACAAGCTTCCTCTTCTTTTCCAGAAGTTCTTGCTGGTCCTCCTCCTGGTCCTTATTATCTTAGGGACCCTGTGTGATGCCGACTGTTATATGCGACCTCCCAACAAATATGGTAAGAACAGCATATCTTCCAATCATGCTTAGGACATTCAGTTCATTGATTCAAAGCCTCACTTGTGGAGTACAGTTCACTGAAGTATTCAGATTTCATACCAGCTGAGAGCATCTTTAGACAGACACACACATAGATAGACAGATATAGTAGTTTCCAAACAATAGCAGGGCAGAGTTCCTTTTAAAAAACAGTGTATTACCAGGGGTTAAAAGATCTCAATCCTGAAGCTTCTCTATTCCAGCACTACTGTTTTGTGCTGCTTGTTGTTGGATATGGAAAATGCACGAGAGGACTATTTCAGGTTATACCACTTGCCTGTTTGATTGTGCAAGGGGAGATATTTAATGGTTAGAACTGGGATTGGCATTACAAGAGATCAAGGTGCTAGTAATAGCCCTGCTACAATTTTTCTGTGAAATCTTGGGTTAGTCTTTAAATCCCTTACTCACTCAGGCTGCTTGCAGGTGTTAACCCTCCCCGCCCAAATGGTGCTTTACTTTAAACTTGGCACGCTCCCATGCCAAGCCCAGCACATACCCAGAAGAGGCAGTGCCTTAGTTGGACCCAGCTCACCCAATAACTGTATAGATTGGGTGCTTTAGTGGAGATTTATTGGCACTTTTATCTAACAGCTGATTGACTTGGCTTTAGATAAAAGTGCCAAAAAGCCCTGCTGAAACACCTGATCTATACAGATGCTAAGAAACTGGGTTGAAGTAACATGTTGCTGTTTCTGGTAGTGTGGGTTTTTTGGTTGGTTTGTTTTTTTAACATCTGCAAGCAGCTTCAGTTACACCATGTATAAAATAGGTGTCAAATACCTACTTCCAATAACTGCTATAAGGATTTTTGAGAAAATAAGTACTATTTGCAAAAGTGCCTAAGTGTTTTAGATGCCCAGCTCCTACTGGGCTTCAGTGCCTAAGTTACTGAGGTGCTTTTGAGAATGCTATCCATTGGGTGAAATGCTCTCTCCATTGAAACCGATAGCAAAACTCCCCCTGATTTTAACATGGTGAGGTTTTCAGCCTGAGGCATTTCTCAGACTCGGTATAATACTTGAAGTACATCTCTGAAAAAGAAAACTGTGTGGCAGATGATATTTTACTTTATCATTCCATGCAGTATTGTAAGGTATAGGAGCAATAGTACTACAATCAGTTGCAGAGCACCAGGCCAAATTCAGACCTGGTGTACCTCCACAGAAGTCAGCACTTTAACTGCTAGCATGAAACTATAAGCCTGGTTTTTACCTATAATATTAAAGATTAGATGGATCTACTGCATCTTGCTTGTTGGTTTTTTTGTGTTATCTAGGTTGTATTGAAAACAGAAGGCGGTATAAGTTTGGTGTAGTATGGAACACCGATGATTGTTACAAATGTAAATGTAAGCGGAGAGCGATGACCTGCTGCAATGTGTAAGTTCAAGTAGACTTCTATTATATTTATATGCAAGTTGGTTGAAATTTTATACATTTCAAAATTTTGGTGTAAATTTGCTTTGACATGCCAGAAGAATTAGAAAACAGGTCTTTCACCTGTTTTACAACTGGTTCTAGCAATGTCAAAAACTAAACCACATTCTTTGCATCCAGGCATCTGAAAAACTGTACCTCCAACTCTCTAAATACAGAGTTAGATGTGCACTTGTTGTTACAGGATTTTTTTTCTTATCACTCTCCTCAATCTTTCCCTGAGTCTCCCACTTAGGGTACAAACAGGCATTGTTTTTGTGGCAGGATCCACTGTGCTGGGATGTCAGGCACAGGCATTGTCCAGAGCTATTGTCCCACAGGATCAGGTCCCTGTTGCTCCCAGGGCTTCAGAGGCCAGATCCTGCAGGACAGCCCCAGGTGCCTGGCCAGAACCCAAGGCGGTTCCATGATTTGTATTTGCAGATATAGAGTTCCTTGTGGCTCAGTGGTTGAATCCTTGTCTACCACACAGGAGACCCAGGTTCAATGCCTGGCTGCTTATATGAATACAGCCATGGAGGCACTAAATGTCTGGATTCAGTCTGGCCTTTGCATTCTGTCTCAGTGGCCTAAAGGGCGGGGGTGGGGATGGAAGGTCTGGGCAGCCTCCAAAACTCCTGCCTAGCTATATTCATTGAAGGTCTGGGTGACCTCTCATACATACACCATGATCTGGAAGGGTCAATAGTTGCTAAAAACTAACTAACTTGCAGATGCAGGCTCTGAGAATTCCCATGCAGGGGATTTCAAGGTGTGTATTTCATGTTGCAGACCAAGGGAACCCATGGAGTTCCCTGCTCTGTGCTTGCAGATGTGCTCTTCAACCACCCGCTGGGATATGTCAGCAAAATGGAGCATGACACCCCAATATGAAATGTGCGCCCCAGAATTGCCTGCCCAGGGTATCTGGGGAGCGCAGGCAGCCCTTCACTGTGGAGATCACTCTGTAAGTGAACAGATGTTCTCTGAGATGAGGTGCAATGAACTGTTACTAGGCAAGAACATTACCTTAACACAACCAAGACTGTAGCAAACATGGGGCAAGGATGTCTGTTCACTCACAACTTGTGTCGCCATAAAAAAATTATGGTGGCACCTGGGTGATGTTGGTTTGCACCCTTACTGGGTGTGTGATTTCTTCCCTCCCCCCCTCATTTTTTCTGCCCCTTGCTCCCTTTTGCAATTTGTCTTGTGACTTTTCACTGCAACTGTATAGTAGGGCTGTATAAAGCTTTGGTCTCCGATTTTGATTTGGTGGAGATTCAGCCCAATTCGGTGGCTAAATCTCTGAACCTGAATCGAACCAGAGGACCCTTTAATCTCTCTGAATCGAATCGGAACCCTCCAAATCAATTCGGACATAGAGACACCATGATCGCAGTGATCACGAGCCATACCTACTACCTTGAGGTATATAGAAAAAACTTTTAAAGCTGTGTCTATGTCCAAATCGCTGATTCTCTGAATCAGCATCAAATCTTCAGATTCAGCCAAATAGAATCAGGGACAGTGATCTGAATCAACTAATCGAATCACTGTCCTTGATTCGGGCCGAGTCCGAATTGAATAGGGTCCACTTCGCATACCCCTACTGTATAGCCCTCACTGGGCAGCTATACATGAACAGTGAGGAAGCTGCAGCGTGCTGTAATTATAGCATGTAGCAGCAGACTTAATTAATCGAGTCTGCTGGAGCATGGTAATTACTGCGCTCCAGCACCCTTCAGCATCTTGTGTATCAGCATCGCCATGCTTAAAAATAGTAGCAGGGGCACTTTACCTAAAGCTCATTCAAATACCCCTGCAGCCATTTTCGAGCATGAGGATACTGATACACGAGACACTGTGGATGCTTTACTCTACGCACCAAGACACTCTCGGAGCCATTCTAATTAAAGCACTCCCCACATGGGCGACTGGTGCCACTTTGGTCAGAGGGGGCACGTGCCCTGCCAGCAACCAGTCAGTGCCTGGTGGGGGGAGTTCCCCCCACAGCCAATCACGCTGACTGGGAAGTGACCATGGTGCTACATCCAGTGCTCCCACTCCCCAGCTGGCACTCATGGGGGGGCACTGGTGCTTCTGCCTGCCTGCCCTGCCCATCGCCTAAGAGGGGAGCGTGGCCTGTCAGGGGGTACACCAGCACTCTCAGGGGGTGCACGTGCCACTACTGACTCCCCACACTCCTGGAGCATGTGTATAAATGCCCTCTGAATAAAGGAAGCTATGAGTTGTCTTCACACTGTCACTGTGTGGGAATTCATGTACGGTCCAGGATGAACATGACTATCTGTTTACCTGAACAAGGTAATTTCAGAGAATTGCATCTCTATGCTACATTATTGAAGAATCAGCTCCTTTTTTACTTACTGCCAGGACAAGAGATCAGAGTTTAGTGTTTTCTTTCTGACAGTCAGTGGTTCATGCAGTTACCGGAGACCCTGGATTAGAGTGTAACTTCCTCTGAAATCAGCAAAGGGATTTGACTTGGTAAATATCAGTTTTTATCCTGATCCACATGTAAATTCATGATTTTCAATTTACTTCTCTTTGCCTCAGTGTTTTCACACCCCAAAACTACGATAAGTTGAACTGTGTTGCCTTGTTTCACAAAAGAACCTGCACTATCCGTGTGGTGAGGAAGAAAAACCCTGACATACCCTGCAAAATCTACAATGGAGTTGGCTAAGATCAGTTTAAAGTGCTTCTGTTCTTCAGCCTCTCTCTTTCAAGTTGAACAGACCTTGGATCACTTACATTGAGGAAAACGGCCTATCCATAGAGCTATGGGGATAGGAGGGTTCTCCCACCCCACCTCTTCCCCTGCTCTACTTGTACCCTGCCATGCTCCCTACACATGCTCCACCCCTGTCATCATGAGCAGCTGCTCTTGCTAAGGACACAAATGTAATTTACATTTAATTTAAGATCATTTGCTGTAACTGCATCTCTGATGAAATCTGGAATTTAATAAATTCACATAAACATCAAGGTCTTTTTTTCCCCCCGTATAAGCAGTTAATGGACCATTGTGTAGGAAGTCAAAAACTATGTAAACTTCACTGAAGACCTTGCTTTCAACATCTATTTTACTGGGGAATTGTTCAGGGCCTTTTGGGACAGGTATTATCATATCCAACACATGGACAGAAAAGTAGATATTTTTGTTTCTTTCTCATTCAGTGTTTCCTTCAGCCTGTGAGGTTGTGTGATTCATAATAACCACTGTGGTTGTGTCCAGATCAGTGCAGTCATGTGGTATGTGGTGCTGCAAGCATGTCTGTGGCGCGACATATTGTACTTTTAGATATTCTCCGTGCTGCAAGGGTGTGCTGCTCATATGTGTGTTGCTCCATTTTTTTTTTTTTTCTGTGGGTTTTTTCGACCCCTGGATATACAGGGGGCAAAAAAGTCTGTGGAAAAAAGAAGTGGAGCATCTCATGCACAGACAGTGTGCCACTCAAAAGGAGAACTGGGCCACCTGGAGCTGCGCTGTGGCTGCCAGCCAGGCTCTGCACAGCAGAACTGCCACTGCTGAAGCCCTGGGAGGCCCCCAAAACCCTAGGTAAGGCTGCTGGGGCCAGCCCAGTGCTGGCCCCAGCCTCCCCTACCTGACTCTGGATAACTTGCCACGTGCCAGCCTGAGTAACTTGCCATGTGCCAAAGCGTGTCTGTTATGGGCGTTTCCTGGGGACAAGTAGCAGTGGTGTAAGGTGCACCGCTGCTGCTTGTCCCCAAGGAGCCAAACATCTATGCTCATCTGGAAACGGCCTGTGTGTGCTGTATGGATTTAAGTATTTGCACTCCCCCTCTTCTGTTTGGTGCTAACCATATCTCCCCATGCAGGAAGTATCTGGTAGGGCCGTGTGAAGCTTTGGGTGCTGATTCAGTTTGGAGGAGATTTGGCCTGATTCGGTGGCTGAATCTCTGAATCTGAATCAAATCAGGGGACCAATTAGAAGGTCCACATTGATTCAAAGCTCTCTGAATTGATTCGGAAAAGATTCGGAGAACTTTGGTGATTTGGGCAGTCCCCACCTGCTGCAGCAGGGAGCTGAACATGGACTCCAAGCTGGTAAGTAGGGAGCAGGGGAAGGGAGGCTGGAGGAAATGGGAGGGGACCATGGGGGGACCCCTGCCAGGCCCCATCCCTTGCCTGCTCCCCCACCTCCCTTAAGCACCTCCTGGCCCCTGCCCGCTCTCCCAGCACCCACCCCATGGCTGCCCCACCTGTCCCAGCTCCCGGCCCTTTTAAAAAAAAGTCCTCATTCACCGGGTGCTGCTGGGCAGGGGGGTGATCCCTGCTGCCCCCCACTGCTCCATGCTGTGTGGGGGGGCTCTGCCATGAGTCCCTGACCCCACCTGTTCTCCCAGCTCCCCCATGGCTGCCCTGCCCACCCCAGCTCTGGCCCTTTAAGAAAAAAATAACTAACCCCCCCAGACTCACCGGCTCCTGCAGTGGCCTTGGGGCTTCTGGGGGCTTGTGCAGAGCCCCCCATGTAGCGTGGGCCAGTGGGGATTTCCCCCTGCCAGGCAGGAGGATTTTTTTTAAAGGGCTGGAGGTGGGGCAGCAGGGGGCTGGGAGAGCAGGCAGGGGTTGGGGACCTTGTAGCAGAGCCCCTCATGTGGCATGGGGCAGTGGGGCTCTCCCCCCCATCGGGTAGAAGCCAATGAGTGGGGGCTTTCTTTTTTTTCCAAGAGCTGGGGCGGGCAGGGCAGCCATTGAGAGTGGGTGGGAGACAGGCCTGTGTGAGTTGGAGATTCAGCTGATTTGGCAGCAGCCAAATCTCCGAATTGGATTTGGCTGAATTGAATTGGCCGAATCCAAAGCGAATACTAGCCGCTTTGCACAGGCCTAGTATCTGGTAATCTTATGTTACAGGGCTTTTGCTGGTCACATGTAGGGGCCAGAAAAGATTTTCCCTCTTGTGAATGCTTTGTTAGCTACAATCACCTTCTTTTGTATATCTAGAGATATACAATATCAGAGTATTTTTGGAGCCCTGGGCAGAAGAGAGATCTGGTAGAGGGGCAATGGAACAGAGGCAGAGGGGTTCCAGGCTCCAGCAGCTATGATCTCTGTATGTGAAGTGGCTAGGACCCAGAACCCAAAGTGCAGGCAAGGGGGCTGCAGAGACTGGCAGCTATAGGCTCCATCAGCATGGGGCAGGAGGAAGTAGCCAGGATCCAGCAGCCAGGGGGACAGGCAAAGGGGATTAAGGATGCCACCAAAATCCATGGAAAGCATCAGGATAAAATGACATATTTCGTGGCAGGATTATCCCCTTGGCTGCAGACTCCCTCCCCATCTACTCACTCAGTGGTGAACCCAAGACAGTATTTTTACTGGCAATCTACAATCTTTTTTTTACTGAAAACCCAACTTTTTACTGGCATACGTTTTACATAATGTAAATGTAACTCTTCTGTCAGACCCTGGACTAAGCCTGGGTTCAAAACATAGAAAAAATGTTGGTTGTCAGTAAAAATTTTGAAGATTATCAGAAAAAAATATTTTGATGGTAACCCTTCTTAACTGAAGCAATAGTTTTGCACCTGCTTCCCCCATCTCGGGGGTTCTCTACTTACCCTCACACCTTGGTAGCCCTGACTGCACCCTGCAACATGCTGCCACACCTAGTCCACCCCAGCTTTACCCCAGCTGGCCCCACTCCTCTCCTCCCAGCATAGACCCCCAAAGAATCCTACTCAGGATGCATCACAGTTCACCAGGGCATCTGACCTAGTGGGTAGAGCCAGGAGTGGAACCAGGGATTGCAACATTGGGACAGAGGCCCAGAGTCAGGAATCAAATACCAGGCCAGGGGAATCAATCAGCATCAGAGGTCAGGAAGCAAGCCAAAGTCAAGCCAGAGTCTGAGGAGATGAATGCACAATCATGGGCGCTAGGGCAGAAGCCAGAAAAATTACCAGAACAGGAGCTACTCAAAGACTGGAGACCAGTAAATCACACAGCAAGGTTTGGGTACTGCAGGAGTTCCTTAAAAGCAGACCCAGGACCAATCAGTGGAAATGAGCTAGGCTCAGCTGGCCTTGGTTAGTTTGTTAGCCAGTTAATCAGGCTGCAGGGCACAAGCCCCAGTTATCCTTATCCTTATAGGATGCAGTACCAGCTCCAGCACTGGGATATGGCAGGGGGAAGAGGAGGTATGGAGAGTCCTGAGAGCCACAAAGTCCTGAGAAACTTCCTACAGAGTGCTCCACTCCTGCTCAAACACCAGATGGTACTTCTGTGCTCTGTGTCTGCTTCAACTTTACATCCAGTTTCTTTCCCACCATGAAGTTTCCATCAGCTTTGGTGGCTTCCTTTTTTATGGGTGGTTACATTTTTTTCCACAGACTTTATGGATAGGCATTTTTAACCTGGTTATTTATGGAGCGTCCATAAATTTACAGACAGTTGGCAGCCCTGTCCCCACTCCAGTGCCTCAAGCCCCCAGCCTGTTTGTTCCTGGGCACTTCTGCCTGCTCCACACTGCTGAAGGCCATAGCTGCTGAAGTCTTAAGGGCTCTTGCCTCTTTTCTGGCACTTCTGTGCCTCTGTCCCAGTGCCCCCATGCAGTCAGTGCCCAGGACTTGTGCCCCCTGCTCACCCACCACTAGTTACAGTACTGCTTATCATTATGTATTAGGTAGGACATGCTCTCTGTCATGCCACTTGGGGCTGCTTTGTCACATTCTACCTCACTTTAAAATAAGCCCTGATACAGTTCCATCAGTGAAGCTGGTAGGGATGTCCCTTTTGACTAATGAGATGGTTCTTATCATGCATGGCAATACTTAAAATACTATGGTCTTTATAAATCCATGGTGTGTCCACACCTTGAATACTGTGCCCAGTTTTGGTCCACACACCTCAAAAAGGATATAGAAGACCACTTCAAAAAGGATATAGAAGAACTAGAGAAAGTACAGGGGAAAGCAACAAGGATGATTAGTGGTATGGAGGGGCTTTCATATGAAGAGAAACTAAAGAGGATAGGCCTATTCAGTTTAGAAAAGAGATGCCTGAAGGGGGATATTTTAAGTAGAGGTCTACCAAAATTGAGATGGCTGCTGGCAAATTTCACAGGGAGACCAGAGCCCAGGCAGCCATTTTAGTGGAGCAAGTATGTTGTCCCTCACTGCCTCTGATTGGCCAATGGGCCCCTGAAGTCCTGTCCCTCCCTGTAGTTTGCCAGATGGCTCCAAACCACTACTTGCTAATAATAATGTGTTAATTAATGGCTTCCGTGGGCTTAATCTTCTCATTAAGCATGTGGAAGCCATTAATTGATTCATTATTAAGGAATCTTCAAGCCCATGGAAGCCATTAATGGCCACTTAGATTGCTTAATAATGCCTCAATTAATGGCTTTCATGAGCTTAATCAGGGCATTAAACCCACAGAAGCCATTAATTGATATGTTATTAAGAATTCTAAACAATTACATTCTAAACTGAAATATCTTAATAAAATAAAGCAATGCACACCATAAATTGTAACTAATACCAACTATATACACTTTACTAATATCAACTATATATACTTTAATAAAGGATATTATAAAAAGGAGTTTACTAAAACTGAATACTATCCTTGAGACAGGCAGTTCATGCTATGTATTAAATGCGAGCATGCTGCACCCTGCCATAGTCACTGGAGACATTCTCTGTCTCTGTGGGGTGAACACTTCTCCATACATAGCCATGGCATGCTTAGCATCCACTGAGTTCATAGGGATAATGAGGCCGTGTCTTGCCAGGACATAAAGATGTGGAAACTAGTCACAGACGGAGTCCCTGAACATGGGCACAGGTACAGACATCTGGCACTCTTTGACAAAGTTCACATAAGCAGCATGTTCATTGTTATGCTCTTTCCTCCATTTCGA